AATCGATCAGAGAACCGATTTTAAAAGTCAAAAGTGACCGATTTTAAAAGTGTTTTTTCCACTAGTGACTTTTCAATTTCGTTACTATTGTTTTTCAAGAATGTCTTCTTCATCTTTAACTATGTTATGGAAACAACACCTCCATAGGTTAAATCAAAATTATCTTATGGTAAGTTAATATATATTGCATAATGTTTACAACTAATATTATTCATTACTAACATTTCAATTCTACCATATTCGCAAACACAAGTGATCAAGTGATTCAATCTTACTATCATTCCATGCTTACACCTGACTCAAGCATTGAGCATTTGTTGGAGGTTGCTGGCTTTGGCGAGGTTGCAAAAATTAGACATTTTAAAATTGATGATTGTCTAATAGTGTCTTTGGTGGAAAGGTGGATACCTAAGACACATACTTTTCACCTACTAGTTGGTGAGTGCACGACCACTTTGGAAGATGTGGCACTACAATTGAGTTTAAGGATCGACGACAAACCAGTCACAGGACCAACTTTCTTTGACTAGGATGAATTGTGTTACGAGTTGTTAGGCTTCGTACCTCCGAAAGGGGAAGCTCTAGTTGGCTCAACCATAAAACTAAAATGGTTAAGAGACCATACAATTGCACTACCAGATGAACCCGCTGAACAACAATTGCACCAACATTGTAGGGCATATATCTTAGGGTTGATCGGTGGTGTCATTTGTAACACCTCAGTTTTCATACTTTTTATGGAGGGTAGTTTAGTAATTTTCATAAAATTTATTAAGGGTAATTTAGTAGTCCAAAACAGGTCGTTCCGAAATTGGAATGGGCCATTCCAGACTACTAAAAAGACCTATCTTTGATAGCCTAGAACGGGTCGTTCCCAAACTGGAATATGTCGTTCCAAACCACCAAAATGGATTATAACCCTAGTTAGGAACGGGCTGTTCCAAATTTGGGAACGGATCGTTCCAAATATGGTCGTTGTGTGTTAAATCTCAACTCCAGAACGGGCCGTTCAGGTTTAAGAACGGGCCGTTCCAGATGTGTCGTTAACACATGATGAAAGGATCCAGAACGGGCCGTTCTGGATTCGAAACGGGTCGTTCTAGCCACTTCTGAAATCTATAAATAGCAGACTCTAGCACTACTTCTAGACACACTCTCTGAAGACCAAGGAAAACTAAGAGAATGAGATCAACCAGATTTCGCTCTAGCTTCGTCTTATGCTTATCTAGGTAAGGGGGAGTGAGAAACCTCGCTCGGAGGTGTGGAAATAATTGTTGGGTAGTAGGATTGACCCCCCCCCCCAATCTCTTGCCTGATGCATGCTTTTAAGAATAGAAAAAATATGAATGTTTTCTGTTTTGCCTTCTCATTGTTCTGTTGTATTCCTTGTTGGATGTGATGTGTGAATATGTAATTAATTTTGAGAATAAATATGTTTTGATATGAATTAGAGTGCTCTATGTGAGAGAACCTTATGAGAAATAGGCAAAATATGAATGTTTTCTGTTTTGCTTTCTGAATGCTCTATTGCGTTCCTTGTGTGACGTAGAGTGTAAACATGTATTTGATTTCAAAATTAGATAAGTTTTTATATGAATTAGAGTGCTCTATGGGTTCCTATACGAATCCCTGTGAGGAACAATTATGAATATGACTATGTAAAATATGAACAAATGACATGAGACATGATGTGAATGAGAATATGAAATGTGATGAAATGAGATAAGTTATGGCTATGAGAATGTGAAATGTGATGAAATGAGATAAGCTATGACTATGAGAATGTGAAATGTGATGATATGAGACATGAAATTACATGATAAGTGAAATGTGAGTCAATGAAATAGTGAATGTGTGACATGCATCATGTGCATATATGATCTATTCTAGGTGTGCCGCTTAGGCCGCATACCAGTGATGTAACAAGCTAACAAGGTGTACCTTAGGGTCACCAGTGATGTAACAAGCTAACAAGGTGTACCTTAGGGTCACTAGTAATGTAACAAGCTATGTGATGAAATGACTTATTCCAGGTGTGCCGCTTAGGCCGCATACCAGTGATGTAACAAGCTATGTGATGAAATGATGAGAAATGTGAAACTTTCGTATGGCGCCACATGCATGCATTTATGAGTCGAGTCCATGACATCATTGCATGATAAATTGTGTTGATTGTGCATGTGATATTGATTGTGTATGTGTATTGTTTACATGTGACTTATGTTTGTGTGTGCTATCTAACCTTTATTTATGCACCTGGAACCGAGTGAGATATTTCTCACTCCCTTGTTATTCTTTGTATGTGTTTAAATTGTGTTGCAGGTGATCATCAGCATGAGGATGTTGGTGATTCGGCTTAAGCTTCAGTTGGGCATGCTCTGATAGGATATGTGACATCGGGGCTTAGCTAGGTTTAACATTGGAGTTTCATTATTGTTATTGTGTTTTGGAAAGATTGATGTTTTATTTTGTCATCATTTCCGCATTGGACTACAATTTGCGAAATATGAATGTGAACTCTCTATCTATGTGTTTTGAAACCTTATTTTTAAGAAAGTTTTATTTACTCAGGAATATACTTTATATTTATCGTGTATTATGTATGTAGAGTAGAGGGTGTCACATCATTATGCCAGACAAGTCAGGTAACAGACTTCACTTAATGTATTTACCACTGTTGGCTGACTTGGAATGTGCAGGACGATATAGTTGGGGTTCTGCTTGTTTGGAACATTTGTACAGAGAAATGTGTAGGGCAATCTATCCATCGTCAAAGAAAATGGGTGGATGTTCTTTGCTTCTACAGTCTTGGGCTTGGTATCGCATGCCCTTCATCCAATCAAGAGTCCAACGGGATATTACATTTTAGCTAGCATTAAGGTATGGATTAATTTTTATACCACTTTAATACATCGAACAACTAAAATTTTTTACCTAAAATTTTATCAATGTACAAATGTTTTAGGTGGTTAGGAAGAGGGCTAAGATTTACAGGCACGCCCCATGGAGACTTACTTAGCTATAGATTAAGATATGACAACATGAACCATAACGAGGTAATACAATGTCAAATTCTCTCACACATACTCTCTTTTACTCAATTAATTCATACCCTAAACCTTTTTATTTTTCAGTTTCTATGGATGCCATATAGGGAATTTCAGTCCTCACTGCCAACATGTGCTTATAAGGATTCTAGAATATGGACTTCTTGTACTGCTTTAACTTTATTTGCAGTTGTAGTCTGGCATCAAAGTGATAGAGTCCAATTGCAATTTGACTTATGGCAACCAATCCCTAATGAAGCCCATAATCTTGATAAAATGCACGAAATAGACATGAGAGGACATAGCGACACCAATTAGGTTGAACAACATTCAGATTGGATTTCCATTTGGAAAGACAGACACAAACATGTTATTTTTGGAGAACCACTTCAGGGGCCTCTCCAACACACTCCTGAGTATTTGCAATGGTTTTGTGCTAATTCTAAATTATTTCTTTGTAGCTAATATTCTTCATCTCATGCATCCACTTCTAGTACACAACTCCCAACAACTATAGAAACAACATCTCCAGTGGTTGGAGATAACCACCCAACTTATAGTGTGGAACAACATCCCTAGTCTCTTTCAATGAATCCACCATTTCATACGCACCATGAACAATTCATGTACACCCCACTATCAACAACAACTCCAACAAGGGACTTCATGAGCAATCTTTTCGGCGTCGACGTACACACGCCACAAAGCACATATAATTACATGCAAAGCATGAATTTTCCTTCATTTTCTTCTTATCACTCTAAGATCGGTGGAAGTGCTTCGTCAAATCCAGCTACCGATACTGTTAATATAGAACATGATGAGGAGCAAGTTGAACCACAACAACTACGCATTGGTCGTCGAAACCCAACAAGAAACCGACAACCTCCGAGGTGTGGTACTGGTGGGCATAGACATCATTAAAGTTAGATTGTAATTTCGTGGATTATAATTGTCTTGTTGTTCTTTTTTATTCGATCTCCTATTTTGTTGTTGTTATTTTGTTTTTATTTAAAGTTGTTCATCTCAATTAAAGTTATTTTTATTTAAAGTTGTGATTTATAATAATATTGTCATTTATTTAAAATTCTAATTAAATTAATTTTATTAAATTTTATTCTTTAAAAATTATTTTATTTAAATATTAAATAGATTTTTTATAATCTAAAAACAAAAACTAAATAAATTTTTTAAAAATTAATTATATATTTTTTTAAAACTGAATATTAAAAACTGAAAAAGGGAAAAAAATAAAAAATATGAAAAAAAAATCAGAAAACAAAAAGCAACAAAAAAAGCCCAAAGAAACGAAGAAAAAAAAAAGTCCAATTAGTAACCGATTTCTCACCTGGTCCTCAAAAACGGGTTATTTATGTAAATAAAAATGGGCCCAGGTTATTTTAATAATTAAAAAAATAATATATTAAAAAAAAGTTATTTATTTTGCAAAAAGAAAAAATTTGCAGGTACGGGTACAGATATACTTGATACCCGACGGGGACGGAATGAAAACGGAAATTATATACTCGACAGGTACGAGTATAAATATGAGGATGGGTTTGAATCGCAAGGACGAGAACAAGTATCATGAAACCCGTACCCGGACCCGCCCCATTACCATTCCTAATAATAGTGTGATATTATAACCCACATATATGTTTTTCCTAAGCTTTCATGATTCACACAGTAACATAAAAAAATTCATATCATTTAATAAATTAGTCATTTCAAAATGGGAAAAATATTGCAATCTTATTTTTAACTACACAAATTCTCACCTTTCAAAACACTTGGTTTTATATTAAAGCATAAAAATCTCTCTTGAAAAGTCATCATTGAAGATTTAGAATAACACCTTGTGCAATTTAATTATCAACTATAGGATCTAATTACCAGAAATAACATGTTGATGAATTAATTATAAAACATAACATAATGATGAAGCAACGGTTCCATAGTTTTGCCTATTACATTTTCATGCTTATTAATATATCAGAGCAATTCATAAATCATAAAACAAAATGAGTATCAAAAAGATAGGAAAGGTATCAGAAAATGTTTCACAACTCAATTCTTCCAATTTGTTATTGCTAATCATCTTCAGCTTCCTCTTTCACAACTCAATTCTTCCAGTTTGCTATTGTTAGTCATCTTCAACCTGCTCATTATCAAAAGGGAGTGAAAGAAGAGACTTTGTATACACAACCACTTGAGATCCATTTGGAGGATCACAATGGTGTTGAAGCTCTTGTAGTTGTCCCTGGTCATTACATTTCACCAATCCAGCAGTGCCAGCTATCCCAACAATATCACCACTTTTAGTAGAGCAAACCAGGGAGAAGTATTTAGAAGGAATGTGATCAACAGACACAACAATAGTCTTGGTCCAGGATGATTGTACTTTGTACTCTTTCATTACCCATATTTCTGCAGGACAGTGATATCCCACAACACATAGACTAAGAGATTCTCCAAGTACCCCCAAATCACAAAAATTAAAGTTATAGTGCTCTTCAAAACCAACTGGCAGAGGTACTTCTGAAAAATTCCTTTCAATCAAATCAAAAGCTAGGATAAAATGTATTGAAACATGATAACGATAAGTTAACCAATGAATAGCATTAGCCCCATCTAAGAGGAATCCGTTTCTTCTATCATTCCAGTTGTTCATTTTAGATAAATGAACACCCTCCATTTCTTTCCATGCATTAGTTCTAATTGAGAAAATCTCCACACGAATTACACCATAAATGTTGCAGGATGCTTGAACCACGAGGTAATCATCCGTCGATGGGTCATACCCGAAACCATATAGAAATATGAAAAACATAACCGATGAGGCAATAGGTGAGCGAGATACTTGCTTGTGATCACCTGTTGATGGATTCCACACCCAGAGACTTTGACAACAATCCAAAAGCACAAACCCCCGACAAGAACCTCGGATTTGAGTTTCACAAGGTTTTGGGGGCAAAAACTCGAGCTTTAATGCAGAAAAAGAAAAATCATCATGAAGGGATGCATTAAAGTCTATGGATAGGAATTGACGAGTACGAGGCACCAATACCACAAGTCTCTCTGTGTGTTGGGTAGTTAATTCAAAATGAGATAGTGCGAAGTAGGGATCAGAGATGAGGGAAATCCATGACTTGCACATGCATTTGAATCGTATTAAGGACTTGACTGGTAACCTCAACAAGATTTCAATTATCAATTCCTTTGGCAGAAAGATGGTACCATTCATTATCTTTTCGCTTATGTTATCGTCTCTTTCCATTTTAGGGTACTTGATTATTCTGTAGCATAACTTAGATATACAAAGGGGATATAAACATTGATTGTTCCTTCTCCTATACTCTTTACATGCTTCTTCATTAAGTGTTTACTACCTTTCCTGTTTCACCCATCCTTGAAATAGTTATACATACACCACAAAGAATTGTTGAGCACTCAATTATTTAAATTGTAAGTTAAGCACTCAATTATTTAAATTGTAAGTTAGAATTTGGATTTAGGTATACTAACCCAAAATTAGCTAAAATGATAGGGTTATTTGTTTGAAACAAAAATAGGGATAATAAAAAGTGAAATTTAACAAGGCAATGTACATTTTTTTTAAAATAGATCAATGAAAATCATACAATCAAATACCAAGATGAAATCAAAATTAGGAAATTAAGTAAAGACTATAAAGTACCAAGATGAAATCAAAATTAGGAAATTAAGTAAAGACTATAAAGTACCATTGGTTGAAGCACGTGACTCGTCGTCTTTATAGAGAAAATGTTTAACTATACTAGTACTTTAAATGATATTCTCTTCTCTCAAAATACGCCGATCTACTAAATCAAAGAACAAGCTCCAAAATACTTTTATCACAACAGAAAAAGAAATGTTCTGTAATGAGGGAGAGATGATTTCTTCACTGTGGCTTATTTTTCTTGAAAGTAAAAATATATAGACTCAAGTGTGGTCATGATATCGAAAAAAAAAAAATTAATGTAGAGAGAGAAGAAAAATTAATGTTCAAGTATAGAAAAAGTAAGTTAACGGAAGAAACAATTAATAAAATCAAGACTTGGTGATATTCATTGAAAGACTACTCTGTATATTAAATACAGGTTCAATCCTTACTGCGACTATCTTTGTAATATTTTCTAGCTTTACAAAAAAAAAAAAACAATCAATTGTGTCTTACCAAAACGGTTTTAGGTGTTTTTGTTCAACAAGAAGCTTGTTAGAGATTTTTTATAGCTTTTTATTTAATTCAATTTTTGTTTATCATATTTATTTATGAATTAAAATTTAATATTTTTAAAATAAATTTACCATTATATATTAAATATGAATGATTATCTTATACAATAATATTTTTAGAGGCTTCTCTTTAACGAGAGCATTTTTAGAGATTTCAATTTGATGGGAAGGTTTTCGTTTAACGAATTATCTAATTAGTTTTTTATTTATGATATTAATTTATAAATTAAATTTCAATACTTTAAAATCAAATTATCAATAATTAAAAATAATATTATGTTATAATATAAATTATTT